GTTCTCCCAGGTCATCCCTGCAGGGAATACTGGTGGTGCTTTTCCAAACCCCTCGCGCACCCTAATAATCACCACAGACTGGCTACCCTTGACTCCGAGGCAGACAGACAGACTGCGTCTTCTGTCCAGCTTTGGAAGGCCAAGCCAGCTGAGAATGGAAAAGGGTGTTTGCTTCCCCAGGGCTGCCACAGGATGGGATCCTCCTGGCACCTTTCAGTCTATCACGCTGATGACAGCTGTGAAACTTCCAGGAGGGCCCAGTGCACGGTTCTGGAGCCCTGGGGGTCCCTGTGTCCATCTGGCCTCGCACACTGTATGATGGGGGTTGGGCGGAAGAGCAGTTTCCTCCGAACACTATGAGAATGAGCAGTGTACCAACCCAAGGCCACCAGCTTATCATCTTTTTGCAACTCAGGTTGTTTAATGAGATTCTGGCTTTTGCCATTGAAACAGAACTCCAATTTTATCCCCTTGACTGAATCCAAGTTTACATGGGAGCCAACTCTGCCCACTGTAAGGTAAGACACCCAGATGGCTCTTCATGCAGAGGTCCAGTGGGGGTGGAAGGCAGATCCGTGACCTCTCACCTCGTGTCCCCACACTTCCTCAAGTCTTTCCCAAACCCTGCCCAGGACCACTGCTGAGACGGCCTTAGTGTCACAGTTGGGATCCTGCCAACCCAGGATGCACTCACCTGTATCTCCTTGACTCTTCTTGGCTCCACAGTCTGAAGGCTGCTGAACGCTGATTCGCTGGAGGCAGGATTTGAACGTGGAAATTTCCACAATGCCTCTGAAGCCCTGTCCACCCTTGTTGTGCCCGGCTAAGCAGCTGTTTTTTAGCCAATGGGAGATATTTAAGGAGTGGGCCTGTGGCCATGGCCATGTGCTGGAGGCCAGGCCCTGGGCTGGATGAGAACCCCTCTGCTGGTGGACAGGGAGTGCCCCCCCAGGGGCCAGCCTGGGCAGCAGCTGCCCTCCCCACTGAATGACTTTCTGGGGCTTTACTCGTGTGAGGGTCGGTGGGAGCTGGTGCACCTGGGGTAGCTCCAGCTGCTTGCCCCAGGCAGGACTGCTGCTAGCTTTTGCCAACCATCCACGGCATCCACCTGCTGCCCTATGGCTCTGTCACACTTGCTGGCACCCACAGTCAGGGATGTGGCTTTATTTTATTTATTTGATGTAAAAAGGGACATCAGGATTTTTTCTGCCTGGGACGGAGCCAACCTGGCTCCATGTGGGCTGCGGAAATATTCCGTTCTCCCACTCCCAGAATTCCTTTTGTTTCTTCCATACACAACCTAGATACGGTGGCAGTAAGGAAACTAGCTGATATTTGGAAACTAAACTCCTTTCCTGTTTATCTGTAAAAAAAAAAAAAAATCACCACTGCCGACTGGAGGCCCGGTTCTCTCTGGGTGGTGGTGGTCACCCCTCTGGTTCCAAACTGCTGCAGGAGCCCGATGCTGGACGGAGGGGTGTGGTCCCTCTGCCTGGGGGCTGACGGCAACCAATTCCTGCTACGATGACTGAATGATGAGGGGTTTTGGCTAGCACGTGGTCGTTGGCCCCAGCTGACGTAGGAATCCTGCCTGGTCACATGGGAGTTGGGTGGCCACAGAGGGCTCCAGCCCGTCTCTCAGCCCTGCGGGCTCCAGCGCACAGCAGCCAGGCAGCAGCTACCTTCCCTGCACCCCTATTTCTACAGACCTTTGAGGGCGGTGGCTTCTGCTCCCCACAACCTCTTCCAGAAATACCCGAGAGAGAGCTGTGCACCCGCGGCTCCCTGGGGGAGTGGAGTGACCCTGTAGATGGTGCAGGTGTCACTGTCTGTGAGGTGACCATGGCAGGGCAGGTCTGCACCGCCCTGGGAAGGTTGCTCCAGGGCACGGTTTGTGCGTGTCCAGCTCCCAGAGGCCTGTCGGGAGCTCTTGTACATGAAGGCGTTAAGCACTGTCTTGGGCTTCCTGTCTTGAGTTTGCCAGGGCAGCAGGTGTGGCCGCCCCTGCATAGCTTGCTGAGGTTGATGCCTCTGTGAGGACTGGGGTGGCCGCAAGTCATACAGTGGGGAACAGGGCTAATGCTCCCCGCCAAGTGACGTGTAAATGAAACCCCCAGTTCCAACATTCCTGTTCCCTGTCTGTGTGGGTTGGTGGCTCTGTCCCAGCCCAGAGCCTGGCATGAGGCGGGCACTTGCTGGCAGGGGCCTAGCTTTGTGAATCTTCTCTGTGAGCAGGAGCTTCCAGGCATCAGCCCCTGGTTCAGGTGAGGGGCGGCAGAGGCGTGTTTCTGCCCCGCGGCCCCCTGGCTGCCTCCCCAGGACCGTCTCTGGCTTCCCCGACAATCGCCTTGCAGAGTCGAGCCACTGAAATGCAACCATCTGAAACCTAGAGCCTTGGCAATTGCCAAAGTGAAGGAATTAGCATCGTTTCACACATAAATTGGAAAATTATGAATAAATCAGGAGAAATTGGAAGGGAAGAATTCATTCATCTTTTCACTGCTATTCAACGAGGGGTGCCTGTTTTTCTTCGGCTGGGATCAGAAGCTGCTTCATACCGCAAACATAGAACTTGATGAAACAAACAAGAATCTCCAGCTTCCTCTAAGCTGCAGAGAACAGCTGTTTCGGAGCTGAAGTGAGACACTCGGCGTCACAGGCCTGCAGAGCTTTGAAGATCCGGACTAGATTTCGGAACTAGTGGAAACGCTGAAATCCGAAGTACAGATCAGCGGTGTGTGCTCACGGCTGTGCACATGGTCATGGGACTTCCCCACGCGAGGTCCTGCTTCCCTGGGTAGCCTCAGGGATGGGAGATGGGCACGGAGTCCACGGAGCTGAGAAAAGGGAGAGGAGGAGCACCTTGGTTCCTGCTGTGTCTACTCACTTCCGCGGGTCCAAGCAGCACACCGGCCCACCCAAGGGCACTGGGGGAGGTGGGTTTCATCCCACACAGTAGCAGTGATGGCTGAATGACAACTCTGTGTCCCTCTGTGGCTCTGCAGCTGACACTCTTGATCATTCCAGAGCTGGCCTTGGCACAGCACACCTGGGGGAGCTGGTCCTCCCTCCCCGACTTTGCCAGTGCGAAGTGACAGCCTGCTCGTCATTCGGGGCCCAGCAGGGTCTGTTGTTGGCGCTGTGGAGTTAGCTGTTTGTATTCACACGTCCGTAACGATGCTGGAAACGACAATGTTTCCTAACAGCTGTAAGGACAAGAGCTTCTAACATGAGCAACTATACACAAAATCCACGAGATTACATTGAATAATGAAATGCTACGTTATGCTGTCATTAGCACATTACAAATACCCAATTCGAAAGGTTAATGACATGACAGACATATGAATGCTATGGCTATCATCAATACCACTTAAGGACAAGCTTCCTGCTTTCCTTTATAAAAAAAAATCACTGGAAATGGGAAGACTTCATTTCTAGAACAGTTTTTTGGTCATAATTAAGAGGAGTCTGCACAATATGTCTTGTGTTTAATTTCAGTGGGGATTAGGAAGTCTTCTATAATGTGGGTTAGTGCAAAAGTAATATTTCATAAAGATGAAATCATATTGCTTTTAACCATTGAAGCTATTGTATTAATTATTAATTCATTTGAATAAATTATGAATTAATTAGACAGAGAGACCCCATTTTCTGGTTTGCTTGCCCAGTGCCTGCAGTGTCTGGGATTCTAGAACGTCACCCAGGTCCCCGCGTGGCGTACAGAGACCCCACTCCCCAAGTCTGCGTTGACTCCCCGAGTCTGGGTTAGCAGGAACCTGGAGCAGGGGACTGAGTCCCAGGACTCTGATGCAGGACTCGGGCATGAAGCACTCAGCCTTGTGTCAGTGTGACCTAGCAGTCTGTGGGTTTTCATCTTACACCAGAGAGGATGTAAGTGGAGACCAGAAGGAGTTCCACGTTACTGTCTTTGACTTGGCTCAACCTCTGTGTTGTGGCCATTGGGGCAATGAGCCAGCAGATGGGAGATTCTCTCTTTCTCTGTAACTCTAATAGATAAACATGCATCTTTAGCTTTTATTTATTTATTTTTAACTTGGGAAGGAGGGGTTGCTGCTGTGGCACAGTGGGTTAAGCCGCTGCTTCTGGCACAGGAATCCCGTCTCAGAACACAAGTTTGAGTCTCAGCCGCTCTGCTCTTGGCTAATGTCCCAGGGTGGTGAGGAGTGGCGGCCCGGGTGGGGGCCAGGATGGAGTTCTGGCCCCAGCCCTTCCTAGCCTGCACTGTTGGGTCATTTGAAGTAGTGGGACTCTGCCTTCCAGATAAGTGAATCAATTAAATAAAACCATTTCCTTCCTTTCCAGAAAGCAGTTGTTAATTCCTTGAAATCAATTGAATCTGTGTTAATTAGTGAATGAACTAAAATTCAAATGCACAAAAGGGGTCGACATTATTTTAATCTCTAACATAACGTTCCTCAAAAAGTGGATCATGTCTGTGTCAGCACTTTGGAAGGAAGAACAAATGTCCATGTGAAGGCACTGTGCGTTCAGGTTACGTGTGTGAGTGATGATGATGATGCGATGGCCGCGGCACGACAGTGACGGATTGGCTTTATAAGCCACACAGGTCCCTGTACACACGCCTAAGAGAGAAAATGCAGAGAAAACACCAGGGCTCCCTTTTGTCAGTAATGCGCTGAAGTCAGAGACCAAAGCATGTTCTGAAGGAGCAGGGCTGGGACCCCGCGGGCCACGGGCAGGTCTGAGGGCAGGGCTGGGACCCCTTGGGCCACGGGCAGGTCTGAGGGCAGGGCTGGGACCCCGCGGGCCACGGGCAGGTCTGAGGGCAGGGCTGGGACCCAGCGGGCCACGGGCAGGTCTGAGGGCAGGGCTGGGACCCCTTGGGCCATGGGCAGGTCTGAGGGCAGGGCTGGGACCCAGCGGGCCATGGGCAGGTCTGAGGGCAGGGCTGGGACCCCTTGGGCCACGGGCAGGTCTGAGGGCAGGGCTGGGACCCAGTGGGCCACGGGCAGGTCTGAGGGCAGGGCTGGGACCCCTTGGGCCACGGGCAGGTCTGAGGGCAGGGCTGGGAAACGTGTTCCAATGCGTTGAATCGGGGGTCTTACTGCTTGCTGTTTCTCTTCCTCCTGGAGTATTTATTTACTCTTGAACACGTTTACTTGTTTTCTGTATTTGAGGAGCAGGGGGGAGAGAGGCACATGGAGGTAGCATTTGTTCTGCTTTGCCTGTAGCAGCAAGGCTGAGCCAGGATGAAGGCAGGAGCTGGGAACTCAGACAGGTCTGCCCACGTGGCCGGCAGGGAGCCAGCTGTGCGGGCCATCACTGTTTCCTCCTAGGGCATGTGTCAGCTGGGCCTGGGACTCAAGACCAGGCCCTCACGTGTGGGATGTGGGCACTCATGTGCGATGTGGGCACTCTCTTTTCCTCTAGGCCACTGTCTCAGGACTCTATTTCTAACTCAGTGCCAGCTGGAGTGACCCTGTCCTTCCAGCAGCTTCTTTGAGAAGAAAATGCACAGTCCTCTTCTCCTGGAGCAGGAGATGCTCCAGTGAGTGGAACAACCTTATTCCCAACCTAGTGCCACCGAATTTTATCCTTTGGTTTTCCCGAAGAAAGTGCAGCCATCTCTGTGTCAGGTGCCACTAACTGCCTGTTGGAGACCAGCACAGGCATGGAAGAAGCAGAGATGGGTCTGTGTCGATGCCTTGCAGATCACAGCGTCTGCAGGGAGAAGAGACGAGGCGTTGGGATTGCCTGACAACCTCCCAGGAAAAATGCTCTACCTGAAGGTCCATTGCCTTTCCCCGGACAGTTCTGAGAGGACACGCTCCCATTGGTCCCTGGGGAGTTCCTAGGCCACCTCATGACCTTCCTTCATTTGCCCCGTGGTGACAGGTGACAGGAGACAGGCGAGGCAGGTCAGTGAACACTCGGGAAGCATCCAGAACAATCTCGGACCCACAGCTCATCTCCCATGGTGCCACCCACGGCTGCCCTCCTTGCTCTCTGAGTTAGTATCGTTGCCATGGCACGCTTGGCTTCCGGGTGCCCTGTGCCTCTGCCTGCCTGCCCTGTCCTTAGCGTCTTCTGCCCACGGGGTGTCCCAGAACCCTCTCCCCTTCCCCAGCCCTTCTGTCCACACCATGCTCATTGCTCCGTGAGAAGCCAGCTTAGCCTCAGGATGAGCTGGCACCCACGTGACTGGCCCTCGGGCCTCAGGCCACCCCGGGACCAGGTGTGGAGTCGGCCATGGCCGCGAGGAGAACCTGTCCTCATTCTTCTCCAGAGAAGAGATTTTTCTCAAGGGAATAAGGAAAATATTTCAGTTGTGCCTAAACTTTTCCCATTGGATGCTCACAGAGTCTGGGAAGCAGGGGTGGAATTGACCCTCAGCTCCTGGGGTGGGGAGAGGGTGGGGTACCAAGCCACTCGGTTCTAAGGGACCAATTTCAAACTTGTTTATTCTGGGACTGCGGAATTGACACCCTTCGTGGGATCCCTTGGGACTGCTGACAGCCTAGAAGGCTCGGAAAACATTGCTCACCTGTCATCGTGCAGAACCCTGGTAAGGCTGATGGCAAATTCTAGGAGCTTCTTTGCACTCATAGTGGATTCTGGCTGATAGCCTCTGAGAAAGTACAGTAGAACAGAGGGGTGGGGGTGCAGAGGGGCTCTGGATAGACCTGGGGGAGGTAGAGGCATTGGGGAGCTACGGGGGCGAAGCTGCCTCTACCTAGCTGACCCAGGGGTTTCTGGCACCAGCGTCTGCTGAAAGCATTCCCGTGGGCATATGTGAGCCTGTGACCCTCTGTGCCCCACTCTGCCCTCGTGCCGTTGCTACAAGAACAATCCTGGCCCTGGCCCTAGGCTGCGTCCGGTGTTTCTGCCTCTGAAACCCGGGATCCGTCTTGAAAAGCAGTCAGATCTCCTCATGTCCTTCTGATAGATTTTTTAATTAATCCACTCAGATCATCCAGAGTGTAATTCGCAGTTGGTACAGTGTCATTGTGGGAAAACATCTGAACTACTCAGCTAATAGATGGGAAACTCCCCTGGACTGGCCGTGGGATGGGGGAAGACTGGAGGTGATTCAGCATGGAGCAGGGAGAAGCGGAGGAGACACCGCTGTCTGGGCTGAAGGGTGTCGTCGTGGTTTCAAGGCGAAAGGACAGAGGGGACTTCCAGAGGGCGTGGACTCTGGAGTAAGGGTGGGGCAGGGATTTTGCCAGCTCCAAGCCACGCTTGTGTGCAGGGCGTCTTTGAGGTCACCTTAATGTTTACTTCAAATGTTATTTGCAGCACGTGAACGCAGTTAGGTCCCAGGGGCAGGTGAAGGTGACAGTTTCGCCGCGTGCCCAGAACTACAGAGCGTTGTCTGGGGTCAGCACAGACAGCCTGCTGAGGGCCAGGGAGACCGTGGGTCTTACAGACTGTGGATCCTTGTTATGCATAGTCTCAGAGAGGCAGGGAGACTCAAGTACACTTGGTAATATACTTAGCACTTTGTTTATAATGAAAATAATAAAGTTACATGGAAGATCATCAGACACACTTTTTTTTTTTTTGCTGTGGTAGTGCTTTAGCAGCCCTGAAACACAGACACGTTAGGATGTAGGTGCAGGTGTGAGGAGCGCTGTGGTGTTCAGGTGCAGGTGTGAGGAGCGCTGTGGTGTTCAGGTGCAGGTGTGAGGAGTGCTGTGGTGTTCAGGTGCAGGTGTGAGGAGCACACACACGCACACAGCACTCCTCACACTTGCCATCCGGTGTTTTGCAGAGCAGCAGTTCAGCGGGCAAACCATCTTGAGCCATCTGCAGGGCAGTGCACTGGGCTTCAAGTGCACCCAGGCCTCAGAGGCGGGGAGGGTGCTCTGAGCATCCGCCTGGGATCAGGCTCAGCTGCGACCTTTGTAGCTCCTGTGCCACGACGTCCAGCTCACACCCCCAGCAGCACAGGCTGTGCTGGCCTGGGGACACTCCCTGTCACCACACTGCGCCTTGCCTGGCCTAGGCCTCACCTAGGAACATAACTTTGCTCAAGTCTCAGGGTTACCTCATGGTCAAGGTCTCTGTGGGTGTTATGGCTGTGACATCCAGAGATAGAAAAGGGGAAGAGGGAACAGGCACCACTCCCTTCCCTTCCGCTTTTATCAGACAGCCTTGCTGGCAGCTGCTTCACCCCCTCGCCTGTGCGTGTCCACTGTGCACACACTGGCTGGGGCGGGTTGCCACACCTTCCTGGAGGAAGACTCTGGTCACACCCGGCTCACATGAGAGGCAGGAGGGATGTGCGTGTTTGGAGATAGCTTGCAGGTTATGTCCCAAGACCTAGGCGATTTCTGCAGGGAGTGGATGTTTTCAAACAAGTAGTGTTACAGCTGCAATGATGTTGCAAATATATACTTCCATTTTCACTGAGCACTCTAATGTCAGGAACTGAGAAAATGATTTGAAAAATTGGGTGATGTTAGCTCAAGCCTCAATGGTATCACCCAGTAGCTTTCCCTGCGTGTGCTCTCAGCTGCCATCAGATGCCCGGGTGGCATTACACTCTCTCAGAGTGGACAGGCAGGAGGCAGGTCTCTGAGTTGTCTATTGATGTTGGTTATTTGGAGACTGGCTTGTCTTTGAAAACATCACACATTGCTGTTTAAGCGGACAGTGCTTGCCTTCTCTGATTGCATATTCCCCAGGTATCTAATTTGTAAATAATTGGTCCATACCAATGGAATTGGCTAGAAAGTTCTGAAGATGCAGAGACAGAGATGGACCCCAGAGAGGAGACTTGAGCCAAGAGGCTGGCTCATGGTTTTTCATCTCAGCAGTTAGCAGCTAATCAGGTCCCTAGTTAAATAAACAAGTCCTTGGGCTCCAGACGTGGTCGACACACTGAGCTGGCCATTAGCAGCTGTGCCCGATGCTCCAGGTGTGGCTGGAGTGCTGGGGAGGTGATGTCCGTGGCACCTTCTGGGTCAATCCCAAGAGCTTGGCTCCCGTGAGGGCCCTTGGTCCCTGCAACAGCTCTGCTGGGGAGGTACTTAGGATGCCTGATCCCCTGAGGTCCCTGAACTGCTGTTTCCTGGCTGACATCCACCTCTGTGCACATAGGTAGCTTCACAGTGGAACAAGGAGAGACCATGTGCTCCTATGGGTCCAGCTGTCACACAGGACCACCAGGCTCTGGGCACCGACTGTGGAGCCTGTCCCATAGGGGGCACAAGCTGGACTATGGATCCCATCAGCTGCTCCAGGGAAGGCAAACAGGACATGGGGCAGGGTTAGGGTTAGACATTTCTGCCCCCAGCTGGCCAGGGCGTCAGTCCTGCTCATCAGCTCCCAACTGGGTCCTGCTAGGAAGGCCACTGTCTTGTCCCTGTTGACTGTCTTGGCAATCTGGCTGGACCCACAGCTCAGCCTTCCTTCTCAGATCGCTCCTGCCTTATTCAAGGTCACCCATCTCTATGACCTTCTTGGGCTTCTCTATGGAGAAGCCAATTTCCTAGCTTCGTGTGGCACCCAGGTAAGCCACAGTGATGACACAGCCTCATGTCCAGGTTGATTCATTCTACTAGGGGAACAAAGACAGACACAGCCCTGACCATTGCAGCAGCCTCCAGCGAGGGCCCAAAGGGTGGTAGGTCACATGGAGTAGAACCTGAGACAGCCCTGTCCCTCTGCTCCACAAGACCCTCCCCCTCGGTGCAGCCACAGAGGGGCCCTCGGTAAGTGTGCAGGGAGCTACTGTGTTCTGCAGCCATCCTCATCTTCCCAGGCTTGCTCGCACATTCATTCAGGTCTTTATTGAGCTGTCACCAGGCGGCAGCTGTGTGCTGGACCCCCACCATGGACTGACAGCCAGTTTCAAAAAGACCTCATTTCCGCAGAAGGCAGACACAATGTGTCCGCATTGCTAGCTTGCATGCAGGGAATAGAAACAGTGGACACACAATAGGTATTTGGCACACCGTGACCTGGTCAATGGTGGGAAGGCACGGTATGTGAGGGGGAGAAAGAGGGACCAGGAAAGATACCCCCTACTTACCTAAGGAGAGAAGTTGCAGATGGGCCGGAGAGCAGGGCTCCTGGACCCTGCAGGACAGACCTGTCAGAGCAGATCACCTTGCCTCGCACCATGCTAGCCCCCTCGGCCCTACCTGTACTCCCAGGGCCAGTATCCCAAAGACTACATGTGCTTTTTGGACGGTTGGGTCATCTTTGTGTCTCCCTGAGACCACCAGGGCAAATTTCAACTGCAGAGCGAATTCTGTGAAGGGGGAGGTTTCTGTCCACATTAGCCAAAGCCATTCAGAACTGGAGAAGCCTGATTCTGGAAGTCCATCCCATCACTTTTAGCTTGTAGAGGCAGGACCATTAACATCAAGATTGGCCTCTTGTGTGGTTGATGAGAAAGTGTGGGATGAGGAAGAATGAAGGCGGGAACCTTTGCACCTGGGACCCAGGTCGGACGCACATTCAGTGAGTGCAGGGTTACAATTCAGCGCCTTGGCTCCCAGCAGCTTTCTCACCACGGGGTGGTGGTCAGTGGCCCCAAAGCCAGGGTTCCCAGCATCAGGTCACAGTCAGTGGCCGTGGAGCAGCAGGCTTTGGTTGCTTTTGCCCGAGTTGTGCTGGGCTGAGCTGTTCATGAGTGTAGACTTCGTCCCCAGGGTTCACTAGCAATTACTGGGACAAGGCTTGTCAATGCTAAGCTCACACACAAGACTTCCTATATCATTGCTAACAGAGATGGGTGGCTGGTTGCGGGTTCTAGAATGTTTCTTTGGAAAACACTCTGTGGACCATGCTGGTGATTGACAGCTCTTGGTAAATACCAATGAACCTCGTCTCTGGAAACACACTGGGAATAGAGAACTCTTAAAATTTCAACAATGATCTTGACATTCATTGTTGCATTTCAATTCTAAAATGATAAGGGTTGGGGGCTGTTTTCCTCTCTTCCCTTCTCCTGCATGGGCAGTGCTGGTGGGAGTTGGGAAATCAGTTGTGGGTGTGTCCAGGTGTGGAGTTGGCCCAAGGCTGGCCTTGTGCTCCACATGGGGAGTTGCACACCAGAAACCTGGAATACCAGTATGACGAGTGTTGACTGTCAGTCTACCCCCCTGACAGGCGCTGCGAGACTCTAATTCTGCGTTCTTTCATGCTGTCTTCAGCATAAGAAATGCACTGTGGAGTTATCTGACCATGACGTGGTGCCCTATGCCTCTGATGCAATACGTGTGTAGGGCTGCAACTCTCAGGAACACAGAAGCTGGGTTTGGTCTGCAGCCAGGTTCCTGCCTGCCCTGGAACGCAGGCAGAATATCTGGGAGAGCCCAGAAGCCATCAGCCAGCTGCCATCCCAGACACTCCCATAGGACCTGCTCTGTGGGAACCTGCCACTGCACCTGTGAAGGCCTCAGCTGGAGCCTGTGGCTTATCCCCGCTGTGCACCTGCTCTCTGCCTTTTGGCTCCCAAAGCAGCAAGCATGGGATTGCTCACAACAGACAACTCTTGATAAAGTAGCGTTCGGTTGCTGATGCTCCTCCAGCCGTTGCATCTCACCCTGC